GTGTGTGTGTGTGTGTGTGTGTGTGTGTGTGTGTGTGTGTCTGACCGGAAATTCATAACTCCTGTCCCCGCGGACCGAAAGCCTTCAAATTTAGTACGAGTACAAGCGGCAGGATGGGAACACTTTTAGTGGGTGGCAGAACCGGACTCCGCCCAAAGAGGGCGGAGTTTGTGAGGAATAAATGCATGTGCAAAAATTCGCAACTCCTGTCCCCGTGATCCTAGAGCACTCAAACTCCATAAGAGGACGCGCGGCAGGGTCAGAACACTTATGTTAGGTGGCAGGATCAGACTTCGCCCACAAATTCCCACAATTTTTGATCAACACAATTTGCGCAAAAATTCATAATTCTGTCCCCGTGGACCTAGAACGTCCAAATTTGGTAGGAGTACAGGCGACAGGATGGGAACACTCACTGTAGGTGGCAGGGCCAGACTTCGCCCATAGAGAGCGGGGATTGCGCGAAAATTGTCAATTTGGCCCTAGAGCGTTCAAACTTGGTAGGAGTACGGCGACAGGATGGGAGCACATAGTATAGGTGGCAGGAGAGGACCTTGCTTACAGGGGCGGGGTTTGCGCGAAAATTGACAATTTGGTCATAGGGCGTTCAAAGTTTTCCGATTGCACGAAAATTTCACGTGGGCACGCTTCCTTAGCCCATCTGTCCTTTTTTTTGAATAATCGCCTTTGTGATATTATAAGGTGTTCTTACCGGACACAGCGAAGATGGTTTACAGAAAAAATCGCTCCCAAATCGGAGCTCATGCTGAGGGTATAGAGCTTTCAAGGAAAAAGGAGAATCCGAAGAGTTATTCACGCATAGCAGATTTCTTACAGGAAGGAGGACCTCCCGGCGAAGCCGGGCGCCACCATAAGAAGGAGGGAAGCCTGGCGTTAATCGGGCGGCCCGACTGGTGTTAGGAAATAAGAAGTGTGCTCTAGTGGTACTGTCTAGATTGAACGGGGTACGAGTACATTCGCCCAGTTCTGGATGTACGCGTCAAACCGTGCGGCAAAATCTGTGGCGATCAAACGACGCTGGCGCCTATCATTGGGGCACAGGTTTTAGTAGATTAGGCAAGTAGGGCCAGCTGATGGCTACTTATCTACCGTACTTCAAATTTGTGCGCAAGTGATAGGCGCCAGCCTTTCAAACCATCACGAATTTCGCTGCGCGGTTTGCTGCGTCCTTTCAGTATTGGGCCAATGTTCCGTCCCCAGATTGAACCACGATGCAATCATTTTGTGACTTCATTGAATGGGAATCATAACTCCCTCATTTTTTTTTGAAGGCGCAGTTCACCTAAAAAGACCTGTGAAATATCCCTTAGAATGAATTCGTGGCCTTCTCATATAACATATGCGGTGCTGCCAGGTCGGAAGACGGCCTAGGTAGGGCATTATAAATGCTCGAAGATTGCCCTATGTATTTTTGCGCCGAGGAGTTTCAACGGCATTGAAGAGGCTGCACCATTCGTCAGATGAAGTTCATGCCACAGTTCAAAGTAAGAAGTTCAAATAGCTTGTCATGACCTACACCAACAGCGAAAGGCAGTTCTTAACAGCTTTGGCTCGATGTAGTCAGCTTTTTGCCCAATTGGAACAGCTGAAACCTCGTCCAAATATCCCTTCAAGATCATTTCCGCCATGGTGATCTCGTGCAACTTTCTTTTCACTTCTTTTGAACATCCTTATTTTTCGCAAGATTGGCGAGTTTTTTTCACATCCTTCACCATCAGCTCACTGATTCACTATTCCCAATCAATACTTCCGCATTTCGACTCGAAAAAGGCGCCTCAGATTTATTGTGAACCCATTGACGACCCGCCGGCGGGCCACACCATATCTTGCTCCTGTAGTATTTATATTATTTATCAAGTGTTCTTATAATTCTTCCATATTTTCAAGTATCATCTGAGCTCACAGCCTTCTAGAGAATCTTGTGGCATTGTGGTCCAGGAATCATTCATTTCCAACTACAGTTATAAGAGAAATTAAAGGCTAATGTAAGGACAATATAAAAGGCGCGGTAGCCAGTGGGTTAGAACGTCCAGATAATTAAGCACTTGAAAAAGTTCTTTACTCTGGAGTACTTCACTCTTGACGAGTGATTTCCAGAAAAAAAAGAAATCCAAGCGGAATTTGGGATGAAACAGTATCGTGAATGCGTAGCACGAAAAATGTTTC